AAAAAAAAAAGTCCAGGAGGAAATGTTTTCCTGGCACATTTAACGAGCAGAAGGGAGCCAGTGTGACTTAAGGTCAGGTTTAGGGAGCCCACAGATGAGGCCATGACAGAAGGGTTGAGACCAGGAAGTACTGGGCCTTGCCATTATAATGAGAAGGCTGGGTTATACCATAAACACAACAGGAAACCATTGGGAAGTCTCTATGCAGAGGGCTGACACAATCTGATGAATATTTTCAAAGTCTTATACAACAAATACAGTCTACAACTGTGCAAAGATTGAAATAGAGGGAAGAGGGCAAGAAGGGAGGATAGGAAGCAGCATCTAGATTTGTAGTCTAATCTGCTGGAGTCACTTCAAAAGCCAGAGATGCCTAAACAGTTTACAGACCATGCAAATAACTAAAGGCATTAAGGAGATTTAGAAAAGTGGCAGGAGGGTTAGGTTACAAACTCAGTCCAAGACATCTTGCATTCCAAACAGCTGTTTCTTTCACGGCTTCCCCACAACCTGCCTAAGCTAGTCAGATGCTCACCTGGGAAATGCTGTCCCTCAAAACAAAACCAGTCAACTTTTCTGTTCATTTCCCTGAGAGTCGGATCTATTTATGGAAGGACATAAGGAGCTCTAGTGATGTAGTTTGTAACGTGCCCCATTGCTAACCAAAAAATTAAAATCGTTCAAATGCATTAGCTGCTTTTGCTGTAAGGGCTTACAGCCTCAGAAACTAAATGGAAAGGTGATATGAGCTAGAATGAACTGCAATGGGCTTGGAATAAGAAGCACTGGTTTTGCCAATCAAATCTGCACAGGCCAATTAATTAACACCCAATAAAAAGAGGAAGAATACCTCTTCACTCAGGAGATAAAATAAATATAAAAGTATAAAATAAGTATTAAAAAAAACCACATTATTTTACAGTTAAGCCTGCCAAACTCTTTGAGGAGCGATAACCTGACTATATAGGATCTGACTGGCATTGGAACATTTTTAACATTGGAAGCTTGCCCAAAATTTTAAATATAGAATGAGACTTGTGGGAGAACTAATTAAGTGACCTAAGGAAAAGTGCTAAGGGACTTACTACCTGCATGCCTGTGGGTAAGAAATCTAGACTTGTTCCCTCAATTATTCAATGACAGCCACACTCTTTGAAGAATTTGTGTGGCAAGTAACAAACATGCAAGAAAAGCCACCAATAAACAGCTATTAACTGACAGTGTGTGGAAGATCCCGAATTAGGCTTAAAGGTCACTGAGCTGGTAAGAGACAAATTCAGGCCAAGTGCACTTCCATATGACTCCAAAATCACATACTTCACAACTCACCGACATCATTTAACAGAAAATACTAAGAATTTGTCTTGGCTTTGATCTGTCCCTTCTACCTACAACCTAGAAAGGCTCAAAGTATAAATTCTACAATGTATTTTAATGTGACCAAATAGAATTCAGTTGAAAGAGGAGGTAAAAAGAATCCTGTACCTTTAATATTCATTCATCTAATGACTGAGTGGATTAGGCAGTGTGACCTGAGACATACTTCCTGTGCTGTAAAATGGGGACAATATCCAGAATGGTTTCTAGCATGGAACAGGTAGGAGATAACAAAGATGAAAGTACTTAAACTCATTACTAGAACTGAGACCCTGAATGTCCAATAAACCAATGAGATCGTCTGCCACAAGGCTAATAAAATTGCCCAATATTTGCACACACCCACCTGTGCCTGTAGATGAATCATCATGGTGCGAAAACATGAGAAACTGGAAACAAGGCCATATTAGGTCCTAGGTTAGTACTGAGATGAGACTTCTTTAAGTGATGCATCCTTTTGCACCATTTGTTTATTATTGTATCCTTTATTTACCTATTTTAAAAAAGGGAGCCTTGGTGGCCTAGTGTTAAGAAGCTATGCTGCAAACTCAAAAACACATGGTTCAAATCTATCAGCTAATCCTTAGGAAGATGGGCAACCCTCTACCCTGTGATTTACTGCCTCTGCAAACCAGCTAGAGGGTCCACAATGAGCAACAAATTTTTTTTAAAAACGTGGAGCTTCTCTGGCTGTTGGAATCCACCATGGGCTCCAGAGAGAGAAAGATGGACAATCTCCCATGTATTTTACAGCCTCCTGAAAACTTGTTTGAAGTCAGCTACAAGTGTGTTCTGACTCAATGCCAATGAGTGAGTTAAGTGAGTGATATAGGTTTGGGAAAGTATTCTACACAAGGGTAACGCTGTTTCCTTCTGGAGAGGGACAGGGGTCTAGAATTGGGAAAAGATGCCTAGTAGTTAAGGACATTTTGTTTTATTTGAAGTGTTGTGTCTTCCCAAGTAGAAAATACCATGTATTACTTGAAGAATTAAAAACTAATTAAGTGATACACCATCTTCTGAGGTCACTTAGGCAGTACCATCCCTGAGAGCAAACACAGTTGTCTCTGGCACTGCCAACTTCATTTTGGGAACATGTCCTACAAATACACACAGAGAGACATATATATATACACAGACTCTAAAGATTTCTATTCTGGAATAAATACTGCAGCATTTCTAGCAAAATGAAAACAAACATAAATGTGCATTACTGGGAAATTAGTTAAGATTTCAGTCCAAGTGTCAACGGAATTTTATGGGACCTTCTCCTATACAGATGTGGAAAACTCGCCTGTGTTGAGTTGAAATAATATATATGGTGTTACCATTGCGTAAAAAAAATGCTTTACATATAAAGAAGTGTGTCTTTATATAGACTTTTTTTGGAATGAAAAACTGTAAACTATGGCTGAATCTGAGCCCAGGAAACCGGAGACGGTGATTGAGTGGAGACATAAATCCTTTTTTGTAGTTTTGTAGTCTTTCAATGTTCCTGTTTATGTATCACAAACATATTTTGTAAAAGCAAAATCCTACTGGCGGCCGCCCCCTTAAAGATTTTTGTTCTTTTGTACAGGGCGATAGAGGCTTTCAGGGCAGCCAGCTGTGAGTTCGAATCCCACAGCCTAGCCAGCACCTGCAGCGGGGGCCTCAGAGGGCGTGTCTGCGTGTCTCCCGCGCTCATTTGCCCACAGTGACAGGTGAAGGGAGCGCTGCTCCCCGCCTCACCCACCGACGCGCATTCGAGTTCGGAACCTATGATCGCCCTGGCCCAACTCCATGGAGCCCGGCTCCCGCCCCGGCCCGCGCTCACCGCCTATGATGGTCCTAATGAGGGAGGCGTGCCCCGGACAGTCGACCAGCGTGACCTGCAGCTGAGGCTCCGCGGGCTCGGACCTGGCCTCGGACGCCGCCACGGGCAGCGCCGACCGCAGACGCTCGGGCAGTGGCACACAGAAGCAAGAGAAGCCCAGGTCGAGCGTGATGCCGCGCTCACGGCTCTGCGGCTGTTTATCGAAGGCGGCGGTGGAGGCAGTGGTGCTTAGAGCCCGCGCCAGCGCCGTTTTACCGCTGTCGATGTGACCCAGCACGCCCACATTCACATTCACCCGCCGCCCGGCCATGCCGCTTTCTGAGACGCCGGTCTGGCCGCCAACCCCCTCTGCTCGCAGCGGCGGCGGTCCGGCCCGCTAAGCGGCCCCCGGCAACAGGCAAGCCCGGCGCTGCCGTTCCGGCCCAGAAGCTTCCGCCTTCGCGCACCCGAGGGCACTGCCGGCGCTAAACGAGCATTCCGTGGGTGCTTGCCGAGGCGGCCTTTGCCCAGGTCAGTGATGGCAGGGCTGCCAGCCAACCTGACTCCTCCCACTGAAGCCTCAAGGTGCCAGACACCGAGGGAATCCACTCATTCATTTATTTATTCATTGATTCCTTTGCACCAGCCCTAGGGAGACAGTGTGCTTCTGACCTTACAGTTTACTGAGAAAGTAAACTATATACACATGAACTAATAAGTGAACCAAACCATTTTCCAGCCCTCTAAAGAAAATAAAAGCAGAGGTGGAGATGACCAGAGGTGCTAGAGTGAGCGAAGACATTACATTTGGTGGCTTTTTTTTTATTTCTTTATGATTATTATCATTATTATTATTATCATTAATTTTAATGAAAGTTTACAGAGACTTTGGTTTTCCGTTCATTCATTTTTGCACTTTTTTCCCTGCCCATCCCTGCCCCACAGTTCGCTCTTCTCTTTGAAAAGTAAAAGAAAAATTATTTCATTGTTATACCATCCCTCCCCCCAAGTCCACTCCACTATGCAGCCTTCCTTCTGGACTCCTGTATGAGGAGAAGTGTGGCATCAGGACTGGTGGAAGATTCATCAACAATCTGCGTTATGCATATGACACAACCCTGCTTGCTGAAACTGAGGAGGGCCTGAAGCACTTGCTGTAGAGGGTCAGGGACTGCAGCCTTCAGTATGGATTGAAGCTTAATATCAAGAAGACAAAGATTCTCACCAATGGGCCAACTGGCAGCTTCAGGAAGGATGGTGAAGAGTTTGAAAGATTGTTAACAGCTTTAGTTTGCTTGGCTCCGCAGTCAACACTCTTGGCACCAGCAGCCAGGAAATTAAAAGACATATTGCAATGGGAAAGTAGGCTATTAGGGACTTCTCCAAAGTACTGAAGAGCAATGGTGTCACTCAGGAGACTAAGGTGTGCCTAATATAGGCCATGGTCTGCAATCACTTGATATGCATCAAAGAGCTGAACAATGACTAAGGAGGATAGAAGGAGAATTGATGTCTTTGAGCTATGTTGTTGGAGAGTATTGAACATACCATGGACTGCTAAGAAAACGAACAGATTCACCCTGGAGAGGGTTTAACCAGACTGCTCCTTGGAGGCAAGGATTCTGAACCTTCATCTGACATACTTTGGACATGTTGCAAGAGAGGACCAGTCCTTGGAGGAGGATGTCATGCTTGGGAGGGTGGAGGGACAATGCAGGAGAGGAATACCCTCTATGAGGTAGATTGATTCAGTGACTGGGGTAAAGGGGGTAGGTGTGTCAGATACAGTGAGATTGGCACAGGACAGAGTAGAGTTTAGGGCCGTTGTACATAGGGTTGCTGTTAGTCTGGGCGAAGAGGGCCAAAGAGAAGAATGAAGAATTCTGAACTCAAATGCTGATGGCCTTGCTTGTTGAAGATAAAACGGCCTTGCCTGTCTGACTAAGCTAACAGGTGGCTCGTAAATCAGAGTGGAATGCCCCTCCCTAAAGACTCTGTTTATAAAAGTCCTCCCCAGTAAAAAAAATTTTAAAAAAATCCTCCCCAGTAAATTCACAATGTGACTTCCCATTCTTCCTCTCCAGGATGAGGAACTCACCCAGGAACTCCGCTTTCCCCCGCCCCTTTTAATAAAGCTGCATTAAGCTTTCTCTCGTTCTCTCTGATTTCTTCTTTAAGTCCACTAACCTAGACTAACAGTTGCTAAGAATCACAAGCAACTCTACGGCACATATCCCTTTTAAACAGTTCTCTCCCTCATCTGTTTCAATGCAGTGTACATTATTTATCCCATCTTTCTCAGTCTCCCCCAACCCCGATGTCAGCCCCGTTTTACAACAGTGGCACTATGTAATATTTGTCCTTTTGTAACTGAGATATTTCACTCAGCATAATGTCCTCCCAGGTCCCCCATTTGGTATAATATTTCATTAGTTCTTTGTTTTTCAAAGCATTGTAATATTCCGTTGTATGAGTATACCACAGCTTCTCTATTCATTTGTTGATGGGCACTTAGGTTGGTGGCTTTTGAGTTGCCCAAAACTTGTGAAGGACCTGGTCATGGGGAAGACTTAGAAAATGGGGACAAAAGAACTCACAAAAAATTCACTGCCATAGAGTCAGACTCATAGTGACCCTCTGTACAGCTTCCCCACATGTAAATTTTAGGGAATGGAGACTCACCATCTTCTCCATCTACAGATGGATTCCAACCGCTGGATACTTGTGGCCTTTTGGTAAATAACAAAACACTAAGGACCAGCCACCAAAATCATGAGTACCCAGAACCAAAAGAAAAACATTGTCAGCTGGTCAGGCAGTACTTCAGAGAGAGGAAATTTAAAAGGGCCTCTGCTGGTTATAGACGCTGGTATGGTGCTCTACTAACAAAAAGGCAGGCAGTTCTCCAGCAGTGAAATCCACCAGCCCCCCAAAAACATGGGCAATCTCTTCGCCTGGCCTTTACAGCCTCTGAAAACCTACAGGAAGATCAGCAATGAGTTGTTTTTGTATATATGTATATGTATGTGTTTGTGTGTGTGTGTGTATAATTCGACCTCCTATTTAAAAACGCATTTGGTCAGCAGTATAGGACAGTGATGTGCCAATCGTGGTAATGGGCACCCATGGTGGACAGTGTTGGCTGGAGCTTCCCAACTAAATCAAGCCTGGAAGCAGGAGCGGCATCCACTTCCAAAATGGCTTGCCTCCGGAAACTCTATGTACGAACAGTGCTCAGGCTGTTTGTTCACAGGGTCGCTATGAGTCGTCTACGACTCGACGGCATTAAACAACAACAACAACATAGGGCTGGAATCCAGTTTGGAAGTTATCTGCAGCAGCCAGATTCTACAGAGGCTTGTTTGCTGGTTACAATGCGGATTAGGGTGGAATGTTGACTCATTAATGGGTGTGAGATGATGTGATTCGGCCTCCTATTTAAAAACACATTTGGTTTTGTTTTTGGTCAAACATTCTTCTAAGTGATATAGCACTGGTCTGTCCATTGCTGTACAGAGGTAACTCATGGTTGCTATAATGCTAAACACAGTGACACTGTTGTGTCAAAGGCAATAATGATTATCCATGGTGGACAGTGTTTGGTGGAGGTTCCTGATTAAAACAAGCTTGGAAGCAGGAGTGACATCCACTTCCAAATTGCCTTGCCTCTGGAAACTCTATGAATGTGGAGAAACGACAAAAGTTATACAAGTGTTCAGGTCTTTCATTCATAGGGTCTCTATGAGTCGTCTACCACTCGGTGGCACTTAACAACAACAACAGCATATACACACACACACATATGTTGCTATTGCTATTATGTGCCTTGGAGCGGGAGCAGACTCATACCTAACCCTCCAGCAGATTTTCCCAGGCAGTAAATCTCGGGGGAGGATAATGGCCATTTTCTCTTTGTGAGCTGCTTGTGGATTAAAAAAGCATCCTTTTGCTTTAGTGGTGCAGCTGCTTACAACTAAGGCACCAGAACTCCCTAAATATATGTGATTTGTTTAATATATACATGTGTGTTTAATATATACATGTTTAAATACACATGTTTTCTTTCTAGATGTATCTATGTTGTTGATGAGTGCTATTAAGGCCAGTATGACTCATACTGTCTCTATAAACAATCGATCTGGACTCTATCCTATCCTGCACCAACTTTATCATCTTCAATACATTTTATTCTGTTAAAGCAGACACCATATCGATCCAGCTTGTTTAGGGGACACACACAAATAGCCTTCATCTGACATCAGCAATGATATCCCTGGTACCACAGTCTCTTATAAATCCTGCTTGAACTTCTGGCAGTTCCTTATCTATGTACGGTGCTAGCCAGTTTTGAATGATCTTCAGCAGTATTTTACTTGCATGTGATATTAATGATATTGTTCAATAGTTTCCACATTCATTTGGATCACCTTTCTTGAGTATGGTAACAAATATGGACCTCTTGACGCAAGAGGCAAAGAGGCTCTTTGGAGGCAAAAATGATGAGGCTTGCCTCACATACTTTGGGCATGTTATTAGGAGGGGGCTATTCCTTGGAGAGGGACATGCTGGAAATGGTGGAAGGTCAGTAAAGGAGAGAAAAACCCTCAACCAGGTGGACTGACACAGTGACTGCTGCAATGGGCTCTTGTGTGTCACGAAGTATGAACATAGTACAGAGTGAACAGGATTCAGAACTTTTGTGTATAGCTACGTCATCTTCAACTCAACAACAACACACATATGTATATATGTCTATTGTTGTTATGTGCTGTCAAGTCAACTATGACTCATAGCAACCCTATGAACAATAGTTCTAAATCCTGCCCTATCCTGAACCAACCCCATTGTCTCTGATACACTTGGCCCCATTGCAATAGTCATTGTGTCAATTCATCTCATCCAGGGTCTTCCTCTCCTGCACTGACTCTTCACACTTCCAAGCATGATGTCCTCCAAGGAATGCCATCTCCTAGCAACATCCCTAAAATGTGAGATAATGTTTCACCATCCTTGCCTCCAAGAAGTACTCTGGTTGCACTTTTTCCAAGACAGTTCTTTTTGGTTTTTTGAAAGGTGTAAATTCTTCTTCTATTGTTCTTATTCACTGTCCGGCTCTCAGATGCATAGCAAGTGATTGAGAAGACCATTGACTGAATCAGGCACACCTTAGTCCTCAAACTGACATCATTGCTCCTTAGTAATTTGGAACGGTCCCTGGTAATGAACTTGTCCAATGCAATATCTTTTCTGATCTCCTGATTGATATCAAGGCTGTTGATTGTGGATCCAAGAAAGATGAAATGGTTGACAATTTCAATTCTTTCTCCATCT